AAAAAAAAAAAAAAAGGTGCCTCTTGCGCTAAATTTTTCTATGCGCAAAAAAAAAAAAAAGGAAAAGGGCAACCCTGTGCAAATGTGAGCACACAACTTGGTAAACACGCTAGAGCAGCCCCTGGCGCTTCAAATCATCGTATGCCTTCATGTTCATGACGTTGCCCTTGGAGTCTTCACACTCGACCTCCTGGTCTGGCTTGAAGACGTTCATCTGCGTCTGCTTCTTCAGGCGCTCATACAGGTTTAGGGCGTCGTCGATTTTGGTGATCTCCTTAAAGTGGAGAGTATTGGGGATGTTCAGGCACTTCATACCGAAGGAATGCCTCCACTCGTAAAAGTGCTTTTCAAACTGGGCTCTTCCAAAGTAGGAGTAGTTACCACAAATTTCGCACGTATACTCCTTGGACAGCCCGTGTAACTTATAAAGCCAGTAAGGTATAGGCTTATTATCATGTCCTAGGGGTAGATTCAAGGGATTATAAATAGGTTTCTCATCGTCATCTTCATCTTCCTCATCTGCTTCATCCACTCCGTTTGCTCCGTTTTTTTTTTTTTTTTTTTTCTTCCCATCTCCTTCACCGTTTACACTACCCCGGTCGGACGCATTCGTAGAAGAGTCATCATCATCGGATGAGGAGGAGAGTCCAAATGGGTTAGAATTGTACAAATGAGGAAAATCATTTCGTTCACCATATTCTTCATTGTTATACAATCCCTTACGATCACGTAAACTTAAAAAATTGTCATTCCTTTTTTCTACTTTTTTTTTCTTCTGTAATTCATCCACACTGATGGCTTGCTTCCTTTGTATCTTTTGAATAGTTTTTTGAAAAATTTTATTCAAAACATTTTTATATAATTCGATAAGGTATTCACACTTGGCTAGCTCTTTATCCTCTTGTTCGATCTCCTTCTTGAACTCTTCAAGCTGTTCCACGGTGAGTGCCTTCTCCATATACTTCTTCAAATCCTCATCGTAGTGTTTGCTATTCTTATAAGAGTTGAAAGTCCCCTCGGAAGCGTACAGCTTATTATTCACGTTACAATATAGGTCCAAATCATAAGTGTATTTTTCCCACTGCTTAATTTCCTTCTCCTTGAATTTATTTTCAAAGTTCTCCTCATACTGTGCATGTATTTTCTGGCAGTCCACCAACACATTCACTTTTGAAAAAAAATTCATAAGATAATTCAATAAATTTTTCAAGTACTTTTTATATTCTTCATTTTTATATTTACAATATCTCGGGATGTAATAGAAGCGAGTGAAATTGTGAAGGTAAGTGACCAAATCCATTTCTTTAAATTCTCCTTCGTTCGATTTCCCCCCTTTGGAGGAATTCTTCCCCTTATCCTTTTCAGCAATACCTTTCTTCTTTTGGCTAGCTAAGTCCTTCTTTCGATATACACTAACCCTAAAATTTTTAATCTTTTTTATATTCACAAAATCGTGGTAAAATTTATGCATGTCTACATACTTGCCTTTTCTTTCCACCGGGGAAAAACTCTCCTTCAGGTTGTTGTTTTTCAGAGCTTCATATTTATAAGCCTTGTAATTTCGAAGTTCGATTTTTTTTATGTTATTTTTTTTGTGGTAGTCTCGGATGTACTTGACTCTTTCGTAGTAGTTTTTCCACAAGTCATTGGCTTCGCCGTAGCGTTCCCCCTCCACTTCGCCTCCTTCTTCGTCGTCCTCTTCCTCTTCCGCTTTTGCTACCTGTCCTCCTTCACTGGTCTTACCAGAAATGAATTGCATTTCCTCCTTTTTTAAATTGTCTTCATCCTTGTAATACTGCAGCAGCAGTTTTGACTTGGTTTGTATCTTCTCCACTAGGTAACTGATGGAGTAGTCGTAACGAATGCTCCACTCCTTCTTCTTCCGTACCTTCTCTTCGATCAGGTCGGCGATTGCCTTCTCCATCATCTCGATCTCCTCGTGCATGTACCGGATCTGCTCCATTAGGAACTGCGCCATGGTGACGACAAACACAGCAGTACAAGCCGTCCTGGGGAAGAGAAGCTTTTCTACCGATTTGTCAAGTCAAAGTGGGCAACTCACAGCAGCACCCTTTGCGTACCTCCCCCCCTAATGCGTTGGAGCAGCTTAAAAATTGGGGATGCCTCTCCTCTCAGACTCCTTCAAAATTTCCCCCCCCCCACCTTTGCCTGAGAAGCGGGTTCAAAAAGGAGACGCCCTGAACCTACAACCCTCCCGAGCAATATATCCTCCTTAGATAAACACAAATGTGAACGTATCACGCTCCACTCGGGAAATGAGCGAGAGAGCTGCTGTCCTCTTGCAAATTGTGTCCTCTAAAAGGAAGCATCCCCCTCTGTCAGTCGACTGCCATGCACCCCAACTGTGCACCCGCAGCTGTTCCCGAATTTTCGCCTCTTCGTTTTTTTTTTTTTTTCGAATTTGCGCGCTTCTTTCTTTATTGTTGCTTTCCACTGCTCTTGAGCGCTAGAGCTTCTACCCCTGGGGGCTCCAAATTGAAAAAAAAAAAAAAAAAAAATGGAAAAAAAAAAAAAAAATGCGCCAATCCTGCCTCTTGGCAATGTCGCGAAAAGCGTTTTAGCAACGTGACACCGTCAAGGCTTCACGAAAAAAACGGGAGCATACATTCACGTATGCATAAATAACGATATATTTTTTTTCCCCCCTTTTTTTTGCATGTTCAATAGGAAATAAAAATTTCCTTAACGGGATTATTAGATTATTTATTTTTTTTTTTTTTTTTTTCTCCTTCTGGAGCAGGGTACTGTTTTTTAAAATATCACCCTGATAATATGGGGCTTCCACAAAAAAGGAGCATAAAAAAAACATCGCGGGGTGATCGACGAACCGGTGTGGGGAAGGAGGGGCTTTGTGCCAATTGAGTGACCCAACTGACATGTAAAAACACCCCCACGGCGGCATGTACGACTCAGCGTATTGATATACTCCTTCTTCGCGTTCTCCACATTTCCGGCATGACAACCCCCCCCACACAAAATTGGTGCAAAAAAGTCTCAACACAATTTCGTTCTCACCACAGTGCTTTTGTGAGAAAAGTGTAAAATGCCCAAGTGTATGGCGTGGCGGAATGGAAAACGGGGCGAAGAGAAAGAATCGAAAAATACGTGGAAAAGCAATGACAATAACAATGAGAATACTAAATAGGAGCAGCAAATCACGGCGCAGCAATGAACGCAGCAGACAGGAGCGCATGCGGTTAACCAACTTATCACGGGCTACCCCTACCAACCCACCTTCACACCTCCTACACGACCAAGTGCTCGCTCATCTTCTTCTTTATCCTGTCCAACTGATTGAAGGACTTATTCAAATTTTTATTAATAATGTCAAGGATGTATGCATCCTTCGAGTTTGTGGCGCGTCGTTTCTCTCCCCCCACCAAACCCTTTACATGGCTCCCCTGTCCACCAGCCCTTACTCCCTGAAGGTATACACTGGAGGAGCCTACCTTACCGTTGTGCATGTTTTTGAGGAGTGCTTTTTTTTCTATACTGTTTAGGTCAAAGTTACTTTTTCTCGTTACGTTATGCTCGATGATTTCTTTTATTGACTTGATAGCATTGTCGTCCCGTCGACTCTTCTTCTGGGTACACACCCCTTCCTTATTATTCACACCGTGTGTGTCTCCTCCACCTGACTGCACCTTACTGGCTGAACCCCTAATTTTGCAAACTGTTCCCCCCTGACTGCTGTGCTCCCCCTTGGTCAGAATATAATCATCATACGCCGATATAACTTTTTCAATGTACCTTTTTTTATAATCTGCGTTGTCCATGTGATCAGTTTTGTTTTCTCCTCCAGCTGTGACTACCGTGTCGTCTGTTACCTTTCTCCCTGCATGTACGTGATCAGCACTTCGACCTATGCGTGTAGAACTTCTTCCCGTAGTGGCCCCCGACATACCACCTCTCAAAGTTGTGACAAATGCATTTTCACCTCCCCCTGCATCGGCTATCTTGGACTCACCAGACTTGTCCTCACTCAAACTATTATTCGTCCCCTCGATTAGTTTTGCCTTTCCTTTCTCTTTTCCACTTGTCGTGTTCACCAAACAATTGGGCAGTGTCTCCTCCCCTTTCTTCCTTGACCCTCTCTGAGTTTTATAAAAGTATTCCTTCTTTAACACCTCACTCGTGTCGTAATTGTTTTTTGTCCTTCTGAGGGTATTGCCCCTAGGGTTATTTGCACTACAATTGCCACTCCCTTCGGGGGTATCTCTATTACCCCTTTTGTTGCTGCAACGGGTAGCGGACACTTCCTGTTCACACCGTTGACGCTCTAAATGTGGGCGCGCCTCCGATGGGCTACATTCCCTGTGGTGGTCCACCTCGTGGAGAGTCCCTTTCGTGGTCGCTGCCTTCTTATCCCCATCGCACTTCGCCTTCTGGCTGCTCCTCGCAGTGCCACCAGCATGAATCGCTTGTCCACTCCAAATCGTCGTACCACTCTTTTTTTTCAACGCGATAAGAGGTTGTCTTGGTTTTATTTCCTGATTACTCGACTGTGCAGAGTTAGAAGGGGCGTTCATCCCCACGTGATCATTCCTACTGCCCTGCGCATCCTTTCCCCCATCAGTTGGACGTCCCCACGCGCTCCATTTCGCATTTGCATGAAGGTATGTGTCTTTCGAGCTCTTTACAAGACTGCTCGTGGTGGCATCACTATGTTCCTTCTTGTTAGGCGCGCGCGCGAGGAGGGCTGCGCCGATCGGGTTGGAGTAGAACTTCAACAGGTGGCTTCTATCGCGTTGTCCGCTTCGTTCACTTCGATCGCTTCTCCCTATCTGATCCGTTCGGTCTGTTTGGCCGTCCACTGCTGGTGAAGCTGCGCGCCCACTCCGACTCCTCTGACTGCTTCTAACTACCCCGCCATTCGCCAAATGAAAGGCACTGAATGAGCTCAATTGTGGGGAAGACTTACTGTACGTGTTTCTTCCTTGAAGGTCATGTATGAGCAGTTCTCCCTGTTGCGGCCAATCCGACTTACCATGTAAAAGGTCAGTCCGCTTCTTTGCACTACTATCATGCGCCGTGGCCATGACGCATTTTTTGTTCAAAAAAAACTTTTCTAATTTCCTCCCCACGTGATAATTACTGCCGCTTCGACTATCCTGCCTTGTCATGTCTGGACAAACGGAGGAACATCCCCCCTCATTTTTCTTCACTGTGCTGTTCGAGGCGCACCGCTTCCCAACAAGTCGCCTACTAATTATGCTACTAAAAATATCATTTTTTTTCTCCAGCATATTTATGGTGCGTAAGCGATCTAGCTCAACGAGCGCATCCAACTCACCCATCACATCCGAATCGACACCTGCCACGGAACAGTCCCTCTTGGCTCCCCCCTTCCCCAAATTGCTCATTCTTTCCTTATTATACAATATGTTAACCGTTTTATTTCTGTGTTTCAATTTTTGTATCTCCTGGTGGTTCCTCATCAACGTCTCGATAAAAAACCCGTTGCAGTTTTTTATGTACTCCTTTAGCTTCTTGTTCTCCTCATAAACTTTGTATGCCTTATTGCTGTTGCTGAGCTCCACAAAATCGAGGTAGTCATTGAATCCAGTGACATACTTACGTATGATATGTTCCAGCGTTGCAACCCTTTTGTTCTTCTCATTCCTTTTCTCTAACAGGTGCAATAGATTGGCCAGGTGGGGTTTTAACCTCTGTGATGATTCGCAAGAGTCCGGTAGACATGCCTCTGAAATGTGATTTATAGAGCGTTTTACCTCTTCTTCATGCTGGTCACATCCCCCATTGGAGAGTTTACTGACCTCTCTCCCTGGACTGCCCTCCCTACTAGCAACGCTACACATTGTGTAAGGACACGGTTGCCCACCTTTCGAGAAAGCACCCTGAATGGTTACGTCATTTGGGGAATTACCAAAAAGGGGTCTTCCATACACACATCTACTCTTCGCGTCGTTCCTACAATACCTCTTCTCATTATATTCTCCACTACTCTCTGACAAACCAAGTAATGAAATTGTAATTTCGTCGTAAATGTACTGAGAGCAATTCTTCAGATAATTCTTCAAGCATTCCTCCACTCCCTTTTTTGTCTCTAACTGGTTGGATGCGCTCCCCTTTTGCACCATTTCCAATGCGCTTTTAAAATCGGTGTGTCTGTCAGAGGAATCATCCTCACAATTACCCCCACCACTCACATCACTTGATGCGAATCGATACTCTAGGAAAATCTTCTGAGAGGAAATATTCAAACTATGTCCAAATAATATTTTAAAAATCATCCCTATTTTATCTACATAGCTCAAATTATTTGAGTACATTTCTTCAACTGCTTTCCCCTCCAAGTGTTGTGCATACTCCTCCTTGGAATAATTTTTTACAAAATCGAACTCCTCATTGTTATTATTCGAGATGTTTAAATGAATCGATCCTTTTTCCTGCATCTGGAAGAGGTACTTAAGGTGTAATATGGTGAATCCTATGTAGGAGTTCTTTTCCTTTTCCTCCTTGGGTTTCGTGATGGGCTTGGCGTTGCTACTGCCTGATTTGTCCGTTGCTCCTTTGGGGGGTTCATTGAGAGTCCGATGGTTAGAGGTAAGCTTAGCAGAGCACAGGTTGGTCGCCTTCCCCCTGGGAGTCTTCCCCGCAGTAACGCCAACCCTAGCAACCGTCCCCCTGATTCCCCTACCCTGGGTACTCATTTTCTCTTTAGTTAGCTTTGCACTCATTTCTCTCCCCTTCGTGCCCATGGCATCTCGCTCCACCCCCTTCTGGGGCACCTCCTCGACGCCGTAGAAACTTAGCCTGTAAAACTGGAGAGGAGAATGAAGGAACATATGAGGAAGGTGCACATGCACAGAGACGCTAATCTCACATGGGGTTTATAGCGCGAGGGTGGTCTACTACACACACGTATGTCTGACACATGTGTCGTCCATCCGTCACACTTAACACTTAAGCAGACAATGCGGAGAAACGACAACCCCAAAGTGTAGGAGCATTTCAAAAATATAGACACGAACATAAATGATAATCATAACAACACATAAAAAGGACGATTATGAAAAACGAGGATGTGTTATTCTCACCGTCGATGAAGATATGTCGACCTTCCCATTAACCACCTGTGCATCGAACACGAGTTCGAATGTGACATCTGTGTGCACACTTTTTTTCAGCTCCTGCAGGAGAACCTCTACCTCATCAGGACTCAACATGTTGAAGCTCTCTTTGTCCTTATTATACATTTTAAAAAGCCGATTCTGTGCATTAAAATCTGTGCCGTTTTTGCAAAAGGTGAATGAGTGAACAAGCACACCCGAATTGTTTGTCACCACACATTTGACATACTTATACTTTACGAAGTATATATTTTTAAACCTTACATTTATCTTCATTTCTACTTTTTGTACTTGTGTCTTTTTATTTTCTAGGATTAGGTAGCTGTACAAGTTCGAGTTCTTCTTCTTCTGCAATGATTTCTTCTCGTGGTCTCCCTTTTGCGCTACATTAAATTCGCTCCTCTGGGTCCCTTTAGAGGGGACGTGGTCACGGCTGCAGCTGCTGCGGTAGCTGTCGATGTTGCCATCACGCAGATCGCCGGATTCGGGAAATTCGACCGATTCGATCGAACCGGCGGTGTCATTGATGTCGTTTCCATTTCCCTCATTGCTTGCGCTTGCGGGGGGATCTCCCGCAAAAGAGGCATTTTTACCCACGTCGATCACGCCATACGTGCTATTATTAGATCTCACACCCACCTTCGCGACATCGTACTTGCCTGAAAAGGCTCCACCATTAGAACAGCTACTATTCCACAGGTGCGCATTTCCGTTTTGCCTTAATATGGCTACATTGCTACTCCTCACACGTTCGTTATAGTGGTCATCGTTATTCACACGTACGTCTCCTCTTACGAGATGATTCGTCTGCCTCTTATGTTGCTCTTCCTTCTGATCCTCCTGCTCATCCTCCATCATCTTTTGATGAAAATAGCTTAACTCACTTTTGTGCTTTAAAACTTCATGGAATAAATTTAAATTGTCTTTATACTTGTTCGTCTTCTCCTTGGACATGCTTTTTTTTTCTACTGCAGTTTGTTCCTCCCTTTCTGTGTAGGCGGCGCGGTCGTCCTTGCGTCTGTTGCCTTGACTACACCTCTTTTCCTTTGTGGTTGTAGGGTCGATGGGTATGTCCGATTCTTCGTCCTTACGTTGGTCTTCATCGCTCTGTTCTTCACCGCTTCCTTCGTCACTGTTTCGTTCGTCACCGCTTTGATCATCTTCACGCTGATCATCATCAATTTGGTCACCTTCAATTTGTTCATCCTCGGTTTCTTCATGTTCCGCTTGTTTTTCTTCCTCATCGTCGTCATCACCATCGACTTGTTCTTCTCCTACCTCTTCGCCCTCCGTCCCCAGTGCACTTCCGCCCGAAAGACTTAATCCGCTTATCCTGCGCCAAACTGGCATGTCTGCATTTGGCCCTTCCTTGCCGCTCCCCCCTTGCCCAGTTTTACCATTTTCATTGCATTCACACTTTCGGGTGTTACTTATGCTTGGCGAATATGAGGCGCATTCCTTCTTGACACTGTTTCCATTCTCCTTTGTTGGGAACAAAACATCGGAACTGTCTATGCGCGTGGAATTACTTGAAAGGTTATTATGCGCATGTTGATCGTTTTGCGCCAGCACATTTTGTTCGCCTATAAGCGAACTGTTCACGTGTGACTCACAGTTTGGTAAATTTTCTTTCCCTTGGATAGAGTCATGTCCTTGCGACACGTACGACTTTGCAGGCTTCAAATGGTTATTCTCTTCTTCATCAATGCGTTTATTGCTACACGGAATGTAGCTTTGCTCTGTTTGTTCTAAACAGCTATCCGCTGTACAACTTTTATCACTGCACACAGATTTTTTTTTTTTCTTTTCGCTATTTAGTGCATTTTCGCTAGTTAGTTCATAATTTTCCATAAAAATTTTTTTTTTTTCTGATTTGTTCATATAATTTTCGTTTTGTGCAGGTAACTCGGGTTTTCCTTCTAACAACGACATTTCGTTATTTCTATCTGGTTTTAAATAGTCGGAAAGTTGAGCCAGCTCGGAAAAGGTGAGTCTACCAAGGGGTGACTTTTCCTCAGCAGCTTTAGCTTCCCTGCTTGTTAAGTTTGTATTCATTTTGCCGAGTATTGGGTTTTCCTTGGTCAGGTGCGCACCACGCAGTAGTGTACACACAATATGCTAACATGTATATCTGTGTGGAGGGGGTTCCTCCTTTTATTTTTGCCTGTTTTTTTTTCTTGCGTGTCTGTGCTTGTTGGGTTGCTTTGAGCCCGTTTATGCTTCTTCACACAACTGTGTGTGTGAGGAAATAGTACAAAAAAAAAAAGGGGAAAAAAGAAAAAGCGTGGATTATCCCAAACAGCATATACTTACGTGCACAACGTTTATACAACCATTTGGAAATTTCCGTTAATATAAGGTCATTGTGCGCCAGCTATGCATTTGAGCAAACATCCGTGTGGGAAGAACAAAACATGTTTGCGATTTAAACAAAAAGGTTGTCCTTAGAAGGGACGAAACAAATGAAAGGCAAACATGCCATGCATGTATGCCACTTTTGGGACAAATTAGGTAAGGAAACAAAATTGGACAAGAAAAATGTACAAAAAAAAAAAAGGGCGGCGTTCGCTTATTTCGCTTCGTGTTGCAGCACTGCGTCTTTTTGCAACATTTGTCACTTTTTCATTTCAAGTCTTATTTTGAAAAATATTACACTTAAAATGGTCGTTCGCAGCACGCACTTTGACTAGACGTGCACAGAGTAGGGGACGAGATTGTTTGTGCCCCCAGAACGGCATTTTCCGCCAGGGCGATTACATAATGTTATGTATCTACAGGACGAGGCGTACACACGCGCGGGAGTAAGCAGGGATGACCGTAAACAAAAAAAAACAGGTATACATTCGGATGGTTACAACAAGAATGCAAATTTGACAAATTCCCAAATTGGCGGAAATGGTAAACCGAACAAAATTGCACAAAGCAGGTATGCAATAAAAATCAAACGAGCAGGGAAGAAATGCAATTCGTGGACACACGAGCCGTGGTAAGGGTAACTCGTTTCCCCAAGTTTCCAAACCACAGCACAGTATTTTCCAAATGGGGGAAAAAAAAAAAAAAAAAAGTGGCAATTTGTAAAACACACTTGAACAAAATTTTTTGGACAAAGTATGTGGGCAAAATGTTAATTTAAAAATGGTGCTACAATGAATTATCGTAAAAGGTGGATCCATGTTCATTTTTTTATTTTTGTGAATTAGGGGAATAGGCCCTTCCCTCTCCCCTTCCTTTTGTTCGCATTTGTGTATATCATTTGGGGCATCTGGGGGAGAAAACAAACTTGATTGTCTCCTGGCACCTCATACATTTTACGCATTTCATGTACGCTGCACAGTTCGCACAGTTCGCATATTTGGCACATTTTGCAGGTTATATGCCCGCCCGTTTACCCCTTTGAGAGGACTGCGCGGTCGGCTGCACACTTTCGCGGAGCAGCTTGCCAACTTATACCTGCCTGTCCGTCCAAGGGTCCCTCCCCACCCCGATGAAGCCACACCGAGCGACGCTTTTAAACTCCTCCCCGCCCCCTTTCTCAAGCAAAATATTGCCACTTTTTCTTTGTGCAACGTTGGACTAGATGGGAGGGGCGTGTAGCTGCTCAGAATTATAAATACCATTTTCTGTTGGCACATGTTGGGCACCGTGCGACGGGGATGCCATGTAGGAAATGGCCCTTAGGGAGACGCCTTTACAGAGCAACATCGCAGGACACGCTCACATAGCCCCCTCCGAATAAGAGCGCTGGCTCTCATTGCCACTTGGAATAACAGCAAAAATGAGGATAAACAAAAAGGACGAAATCGTGAACGTCTTGTTCACCGTATTTCTACTGGCCACTCAGCATATCTGCCTCCTCTACGCAATCATGAGCAGCGCAAGAAGCAACAACATGTACCTGCTGTTCCTAATCGTAGATGTCTTCCTATGCATATACATTGTGCTGAGCCTTTACGATGAGAACAACGCGGGGGTCAAAATCTCCATCCAGTGGATGATGTACATGATTAGCTTGAGTTCAAAAATGGGTATATTTTGTTTTCTGATCAAAAATGATAATAAAAACAGTCCCCCCAAAGGCCTTCTTTTCACATATCTAGCGAATGATGTATTAGTATACAACTTGCTTTACCTGACTCCATTCATTTACCTGTTGTTCTCGCTGAGAAGTAGAAATATATTGGAGAATATTTTAAACAATAAAATCGTTGTAGAAAATATACTCAGCATTGACGTAAACATAATAAACCTATTCGATCTGATCGACTTAGTGTTCATGTATTCTCATTTGACCAACCTGTACAAAATAATGGACCATGTGAAGACCTACTACAGCTTCCAAAATGTACTTATAATGCTCATTGTTGTTTTAGTAGATATATCTCTCTTTGGATTCTACTTCCCTATTTATACTAATATAGACAAGTCCTATTCCTACACCCAGGAGTCGGTGGGGGTTCTCAAGGGGGACACACCTGGGGAAGGCGGCAGATCGAGGGACAAAGGTACCAAGCGAGATGGAAAAAAAATAAAACATAGCAAAATAATTAAACAGAAAAAGGGTATACATCAGAGTGGCTCTTATACCAAGTACGAAACGGGGGAAAGGAAGAAGGGTACTTTGTTTTACGCCACCAATGGGGGAAGTGCTAGTACTACAATTGGGAGGGGTGGAAGTACCATAATGAGGAGAAGTGGCAGTACTGCTATTGGGAGAAGTGTTGAGGGAAGAAGCAACGCGAGTCGACAGAGTAGTGCAGGTAGCTTGCTCAGCCGAGGTAGTAGCAGTAGAAGGGGTCAAAGCGGAAGCCACAGCAGTGTTCGCAGTCAGAGAAAGAATACTCTAATGAATGTAACAAATGTTTCAAGTGGAGGGAATACAACCCTATTGGATAAGTCTAACGTCAGGTACATGAAGACAAACGCCGCCACTTCTAAACCCTTCTACCCCGAGAATGATACAAACATGCTAGTGGTGGACAAAAGGAAACCCTCTTCTTTCGTTTCTAACAATTCCAAGGACTCTACCTACGCATCAACCGATATGTCTAGGGAGTTACTCTCAAGGGCCTTCTCCTCCACATCGTCCTTTTCTTCATCTTCTTCTTCCTCTGCGAATTCATCCTATTTGTCATCAGATGGTTCTAACTTTGGTTCTTCGCACTCGGCTTCCTCCACGTCCTCTTCGTCGTACCTGCCGTCCCTCTTGTCCTTTTCCTCCAGTGGGAACAAGGCCAAGTCCAATAAATCTTACCACCAGAAATATAAGGACGTCTACACGGACGTGTACATAACTGCTAAGTTTCACTTCATCGTGGGGTTCCTCCTGATCGACGTGCCCTTTTTCATATACAGGTAAGGCGCACCAGCGCGTTGGTTAATGTTCCACAAACGCCGCTTCTCCACTTCACCGCTACGTTCGTCACCGCTTCGCTCTACATTTCCCTGCCCGCCCCCATCTCAGACTGCTCTTCTGCCTGAAGCACAAAATGATGCTGACGCTGATTGTGAAGAACGTCCTGTTCCTGCTGTTCAGATCGTACAAGCTGAACGAGTACCGGCTCGTGGAGAAGGAGAAGTACAAAAAGAACAAGAGCAATCTGGACTTTGACTTTTACAACCTGTTCAGCATAGATTCGGAGGCGAGTGGCTACCGAAAGGAGGACGCCGCGGGGAAGGGGAAAACGGGCGAGCACATGCTGGTTGTGAAGAGGGAGAAGCGCAGAGAGCGGCATCGTCATTCGCATCGCCACTCGCGTCAACATTCTCATCTCCATTCACGTCGCCATTTGCATGGACATGCGCAGCGGGGGAGTAGCATGAAGGCCTCCTCATTCGACAGAGCTGCGAGTTGCAAAGTTCTGGAAGACGGGGGGGAGGTAAAAAGCAAGAGAGACCGACGCGTGAGAAAAATGAAAAAGGGAAACAGCAAAAGGGGAAACAAAAAGGACAAATCAATGAAGAAGAGACAGAAAAAAAAAAAAAAAAAAAACACCGTCATGCAAGTCTTTAAGGAAGAATATAGGGACAACAAAAAGAAGCTGTTGTTGGAAAAGGCCGCTGTGCAGGAAATGGAAATAAGCGGAAATGCTGAAAAGGCAAATCGAGGAAGTATCTCCCTCGGAAAAGTCATAGACAATAACGGAGAAGAACAAATAGAAAAGAGGGATGGTGGAGAAGGCATAAATGGAGGGGGGAACACAAGGAATAGCAAAAAAAAATCGTCAGTAAAATTAACGTGGAAAGAACGAAGACAAATGAAAAGTCAATTTAGGAAATTCAGAAAGCTCATTTATAAATTAAAGTATAAAAGGAAGATACCGATATATCATTTCAAGCTATGGGATCACATCCGGGCCATGTGTAGTCTTTTGTTTAAACGCTTTGGTAGTTCTAATTTTGTGTACTTGGATGACCAGCTCGTTTTTTCATACTTAACAAATCTTAGACTCATGCTTCTTATACTACTTAACTATGTAATGAAGATTGGCATTACCATTTTTTTTATTTTCCTCCTATTGAATAATCACATAACAGTAGTACGTGAGCAGAATTTTGTATACATGTACGATATGCCTATAAAGCCGTTAGGAACGCCTGGGGTGGATCGGGGAGGCATTCTCCTTTTCCCAGACAGCTTCGATTTGACCAAGCACACAAATCTGCAATTGCCGAAAGAACCCATCCCTATACATTATATAAACAAAGACATGGAAGACAATTCGAAGCAATTTGGTAATAACAAATATGTCCCCAAAGGATACCTTAAACTAGAAGTGCCAGATAGCTTATTCAACTCCAAATGGGAGCATGTATTTAAGGTCGACAAAATTTATATGTATAGTTGTCTGGGATTTTTTTTTCTTTATTTTGTTTTGCTCCTGGGGACTTCTACCTTTTTCGACATTCTCTTTGGGGCCATAGTAAATACGTTGAGTCACTTATCCTTTTACTTTTCCCTAAAGCAATTTGTTTTATTCTTTTTTACTTTCCATGGCAATGTATACAATAATGATTATGTGCTTCACGATGGGTACATTCGCAAGCTCAACTACGAGTTCGAATACTTGTTGCTTCTACTTTTTAATTTGCATCACTTCGCGTCCCTCTTCAAGCACGCCTCGCTCTTCGTGCGCGTGGTGTTCAACTGCAGGTACGTCTACTACCGGAGGAGCTTAGGACGAGGTATGCCACAAAAGGGGTGCTGCCGTGCTGCAGCCACGCTCACATTGCTCATTTCGGCTATGCACTAAAAGCCAGCCCACTCGCATCGTATACTTGAAGCGTATGTGCGAAGTGTCCATTTGAGGCACTCATTTGAGGCAGCATCCACTCATGCTGCGCATTCGCACAGCCAATTCATGCTTCTCATCCATTACACCCCTTCAGGCAGGCGCAACCAGCTGAGGCACTCCGTGAGCGTATACCTCCTGTTCCTCTTATGCAAGTACGCCCACGCACCGATCAACCTGAACACCCTGCTCTTCGGGCAAAATATCCTGAATAACATTCTCCTCATAGACAATATAAACAGCTTCACCTGGGTGAATATTATAGTCCTCACTCTCTTCAAAGGAACGCAAATACTCATGACCAAGACCAACTACTTCGTAATCGGACTCTTCATTCTACACATCCTCCTGTACATCATATATGCCATCCACGCACAAATACTCAGATATATAATTCTTCGAAAAATGGAAATTCTTTTTTCCTTTAAGAATATTCTCATCTCCAAATATGAGGAGGCACCCCTCGTCCCGGACAAGACTTCTCCCTACGTCACCTGCAGGGATATACTGAAGTATTACTCTGAGGAGGGCTTCTTCTCTTCTGAGGGTAAGACGGATGCACGCAGGCAAGGCGGTTATATATCGCTAGCTATTTGGCGCAGCCGCACCGTTCTTCCTTGCCTTCCACTCGGTTCACCCCACGCAACCTTTCCGCCTCCCCCTTTCCCCCCTTGCAGGAAATATGATACCCAATTTTATATGACGAACGAGTTTAGCAGCTGCGGACAAAACGTAACGGATTATGTAAACTCCACACGCTGGCCCATCCCGCTCTTAACCTTTTCGCACTCCTTTTTTTTTAAGCAAAACGAAGCGCACCCACTACACATATAGTTACACCACACGAGACTATCTCCTACCGCTGTTAAAACAAATTAAATGAAGAATGGCGAAACGTTGGGGCGTCAGTGTGGGGGGTGGGCCCCACTACCTCTCCCCTCGTCGGACACACACCCTTCCGTGCAGCCACTGCAACTTTGTATTCCCTGCGCTCGTGGCGCACCTTGGCCCAGTTGGTCCCTTTAGCAAAAGGTTCGCTGTGCGCACACGTCACCTCCAGTGGATGTGCGGAGCTAATTAAACACTAATTTCTATTAAAAAAGGGAAAAAAAAAAAAAAAAAAAAAAAAAGCTAGTAAAGATACTATATACACATACACACAACTACGCATGCATACGCACGGAAAGGGGCGAGACGGGCCAACCTGCACAGAAATGGCCTGTCCATGTAGCTGCCCGTGCCGCTCCTTCCTTTCCCCATTTTCGCAATCCACAATGAATGGGCAAGAGGCCTAAAAATCAATTAAGCTGTTAATGATGGCCTGCTGTACACTGAGATCTTCATTGTTGGTGCTCTCCTCATCACATTGGTCCATCGCAGAAGCCGTGTTGTCATCCATGCCTCTCCCATAACTCTGATCAGAGACGCCACGATTTGCATGCGCATCACCTCCATGTGCGTTTCCAACACGCCCTTGTTGCACCTGATCCATGTGTGCGTTTTCCGCTTTAATTGAACCTGCATTCTCTCTCTTCACATCACCAATCATCTCTTGTGCATTCTTGTTAAGTATTATCCCTTGGCCATAACCCCCCATGTTATGGTGGAGACTCTGTTCATGAGTAGAACGTGGTTCTCCACATGTTGTGCCTTCGTCAATGACGTACACGTCCGGTACTGCCCTTCCTTGGGCTTCTCCTAAAGTGCAAACAAAAGGGCTCTTCCCACTTGTGATAAATTGGTTGTGGCTTGTCCCATTGGATCGGTGTAGCGACCTGTCCTTGTTCACATGTCGGTAGTGGCCCTCATTCGTGTTCTTCTCTTCCGGTCTGTGTTGATAATTCACCTCTCTATTCATTACTAACATTTGGTAGTTGGGTGTATCGTGACCGTTGGCTAGGAGAAATTCATTGTGTGGGGGATTTTCATCACACAGGGGTTTCACCATGCGGGATGACGATGGTATGTCGTGACTGAAATGGGCGCCACGTAGTACGCTGGACCGATCTGGGGAAGCATCAGACCAGTTGCCCTCTTCTACAAAATTACGCAACCTATGGGTACCTCCTCCTTGACTCAAGCCTCCATCTTTGTAGTGGAACGAATTTACACTTATGTCATCCTGGCCGTGGTTCCGTGTGATGGCCCTCTCGCTTTGCTTAAAGTGGATGCCGTTAAACAATTCTGGGTGTTCATTCCTTCTTGAGTGGAGACTGCCCTCAGGTGCCGTTGCCCCGACTGAGGGGACCTCCCCCCCATGGTGAACAGACTCAAAGGGAAGACGACGACTGCTTTTCTCAACAGGTGCATACTTGTCAGCCATTTTTGCAAACACCTCTGCCCTGTCATCCATCTCCATCACAACGTTGTTCATAACATAATCGTTTACACTTGGCTCCACAGCGGTGCCCTGCTCAAAATGGAACATATTAAAAGGGGAAGACTCACCTTGCATTACGCCCCAACCCACGTCAGCATACGTCATGCCGCTCTTTGCGTGCCCTCCATTGTTACATACACCCATGGTAGGGTTGTTCCTATCATGTGGCTCGCTCCTCTTGCCCACAGCTGTCTTAAAGAAAAGAAGGTCATCCTCAGGGACACCCCCAAGACCACCTCCATTTTGTGCCTCATAATTATCCCCCTTGCAGTAGTATGGGTCTTCAATTTTTTCATTCGCGGGGTGTTTTCTCGAGGACCTCAGAGTGTAGGACATGAGAGGTGAACCATTGCGTTGGACCATCTTAGGAGACGATCCTTCATCGTTAAGGTTTCTGTCCACCTGGTTGATGTTATTCACTTTCCTTTTGCTTTTCTTCGTCCTGGCCTTATATGGCGACGGAGCACTACCTATCACATCTTCTCCTTCCAAGGGGATCACATCATTACCGTCTTGTACACGTGCGTTGTAGTATCCCCCTTGAACATTTTGTGTTCTCTCTTCTCCTCCTCCGTTGCGATTCTTTCCCCTAGAGAGGAAATTTGACCCCTTGTCTACCCTCTCACCGTATGAATCCACATCGTACACACCTTCAAATGTAAATTTATTTTTTTCCTTTTCCTTTCCACTTGGACTCATCGGTGCGTAGTGCACGTAGTACCCTCCCTCTTGTGAGTAATCATCATGCCGAGATGAATCCCCGTAGTGGTTCCTAAGTAGGTTATTCTCGCGATTGTGCTCTCCTTCCCTGGGCGTGTGTCCCGCCTCTGTGGCTGCTGCTGCTGCTGCACTGCGGACTAGCCGAAATTTCCCCCTACTGCTGACACCGAAATGGTCATTATACACATCGCACAAGCCATTCACAGACTTCTCCACTTTACATTTGGGTGATTGAACACCCGCTCCATAGTTGTTATAATGTCCGGCTCCTGTGCCTCCAGCACCTTGTGCCCCTACAGATTGGAAGGAAAAATTATTTGTACTTTCCATCACCCTGGGGATGTCCTCCTTTCCTCCTTTTCCTTTATGTGCTTGAATACACACTTCAGGCTTCCCTTTCTCATGATGGTAAGGCCCCTTGCGGGAAAATGCTTCCTGTCCCATCCCTTCAATAATGGTTACTTCTTCCCTTAAGTCTTCCCCTCTGGTGGAAAATGGTCTACCCACATTGCTTTGCCCACTTGGCTTATTCTGCCTTGGCGTCAAGGATAAATTTTCATCAGGAACATAGCAAATCTCGCTGCTGTTTCTCACCCCATCGTCTTCGAACACATAACTTCTCGCTTCTTCATTATTTACTTGAACTTCTGCTTCCTCCTCATCTGAGCTTAATGAAATGTTAATCGGTTCATATACGCCATTAAAACGGGGTGAGTAGCGCCTATCAGCGTTGCTGCTACTTTGGTTGCCATTCTGAAACCCATTTACTCGGTTATTCCTACTACGGAGGTTGTAGGGTCCGTACATATGACCTCCTTCATTATTGTCCACGTAGTGGCCACTCCTTCTGTTCCTTCCACTAGGGGACAGTGGGTTTTGATTCATGGGGGTATTCCTTCCTACGTCGTAATTCATACAAAACGGCATGTAGCTATTATCCCCCAGGAGACACTCAACATAAGAGTTGTCCGGCTTCCTAACATCATCCTCTGCATCCTCATTCCTGTCTTCACTACTCAAGTGGTTTTCGTTCACCACGCTGGAGGGTTCATCGTGTCCATTCAGGGCCTCATTCAGCTTCAGGGCAAACAGGTAGTCAGCATCAACTGAAAAGTGAACAGGGAAAAAAAAACAAGAATAACAAATTAGTAGCAGAAAAATTGGCAACATGGAAGTCGCCCCATACGTACGACCCATGTTCTTCTCCTAATGTTGTAGGAGGTGTCGATTGCCTCTTCCCAAATGAACTCACCTTGATTAATATTTTCGTCTCTGGTGGAATTTCTCGTAGCGTCGCTCTGATTAGTATTTTCACAATATCCCTCACTTAGGTTTTTGCTGCAGCTTTCGGCTTCATTGGGCTGCTCATTAGTATCTCCTTTGGCCACTTCACTCGGGGCGACCTTCTCCGCCTCCCCCTCAGAAGTTTTTCCCTGAAGGTTCTGCTGTTCCCTCTTCAGCCTCTCTTCATATGCTTTCCTATGCTTGTTAATATAAAAATTTAAGTCCGAAGTACCCATGGTGGTATTTCGCTGGGGTAGGCGTGCACGCAAGAGTAGGTAGGCTGGATAATGCAGAAGGGAACGCAGAGGGGGCAGGCCTATCTAGCTTTGTATAGGTAAGTGGTTACACACACCTAGTTACGCTCATGTGCACACATCGACGGCACGTAGGCACGGGGGGCAGTTACCACTTCCGCGCTTAAAAACAAAAATGGTCATACAATTGGAAATGGAGCTTTTTACACAAAAAGGTGTTTCGCTCAAAAAGGGGACACGGGCAGGGGATTATCTAACGAGACGCTCCCGATAGTACTTTGTTATACTAAACGTACATTTGCACATGTGGAGGGGCATGTGTACACTGAGACCCATTTGCCCCTTTGCTCGTTTTCCTTTCCGTCGTGCTAACGGCGGCACGTGAATGGGGGAGGAAAAAAGGGTGATGCCTGCATTGGGCATTTATCTCTACATGGGCATCGCCGCATGCGCGCGTTGAAATATTCACTGGACAAGTCCAAATGAGTACAATCGTTTTTAATTCGGAAGCGGTGTCCGTGTCGGCGTTCAGTGTATAGCTAGCTGGTTATTCATCACGCAGGGGGACACATAAACATAAAAAAAAAGGGTGCATAAACACATGCGCTCATAAGTGGACGAAGGGTTTGGGCGGGGCGACGCCATACGTGCACGTACGTAAAAACGAAGGCACACTAACTTTTACACAGCTGCAGGTGCTTACCTTTGCGCAGCTGACATGCCACACGCGCAGCTAAAGTATTGCCCCCACTGGGCATGTCCTTTTATTTGGCGAGCGGCACAGACGTAACGACGAAGAGGGGGGGGGGGAAGGGCAGAGAACAAAAATGGAAAGAAAAAAATAGGGCAAAGGAAGAAAAAAGGCAAAAACTCGGGGGGACTAAAGGAACAACTTGGTCTCCTCTCGTGTGGGGCTATTCTCCAACGCGCAGGAAAACACGTCCTTATTGTTGAATGCTTTAAAGAAAAGGCAAAAAAAGGACGACTGCCTCGTCGACATTACGATGTTCATTTGTGGACTGGGCAGCACGCCATTGGTACATATAAGTAAAAATGCAAAAACGAAAAAAAGGAACGAAAAAAAAAAAGGAACAAAAAAGGAAACAAAAAAAAAAAAGAAAAAAAGGCAAAACATAAAAGTAAGCATAAGTTATTGGGCCGCATTCATCCACATGGGCGCAATGGCTTTTCAGCTTGCCTGGAAAATTAAAAAAAAAAAAAAAAAAAAAAAAAAAAAAAAATGCGCATATGGGGAACGTGCGGTTGGGTAAAGAGGTGCGTGCTTGAGCGAGCAATCAAACGGTTGAGTATTGTGACACCACTGCGTGCTTGACCCGATTTAGTAACACCATTTTGCGTGGCCACACAGCTAGGAAAATGCAAACACGACTTTGCGCCAGTTGAAAAACGTCCTCACACCGAACCCCAGTGTGATAAACTTGTGACCCATATAAAGGATTGCATATAATTATACACCTCAAAATGGTCAGCTAGATTTTGTTAAAGTGTACTGAGCGAGAAAAATTATGTTTCACATTAAGAAAAAAAAACGCTGTGATTTATGAAACCTACACTGGCCGTGGTCCTCCCTTGTTTATTCCATTCATCCCATTTTCGACTTTTGTTCGATTTGATTTCTTTTTTTTTTTTTTTTTTTTTTTATTCATCCTCATC